CTACTACCGTAAAACTTCAAATAATAGCCGAGTCCCAAATAGACGCCGGTCTCTTTTACACGCCTGGTGTGGCTGCAGGTTTGGGTCAATAAAGGCCGGTCTTTAAACACACGCACACACACACTCAGACACACACACACACACACACACACACACACACACACACACACACACACATATACAGTGTTACAGGTGTAATGAATGAACTGAACAGATGACCTGAACTGAAGTGTGTGTGTGTGTGTGTCTCAGGCTGGCCAATCAGAGGCTGCTGGCGGGTCAGTCTCAGGTGGAGGAGCTGCAGAAATCTCTTCAGGAACACGGATCCAAAGCTGATGATGTGAGTCCCGCGCTTCATGACATCATCATCATTACTCCTGCTGTGGATCTGATTGGCTGTGATGGGGCGAAAGCATGAGCTCATCGTTCACACACACAAGCTCATCGTTCACACACACACACACACACACACACACACACACACGAGCTCATCGTTCACACACACACACACACACACACACACACGAGCTCATCCTTCACACACACACGAGCTCATCGTTCACACGCACACACACAAGCTCATCGTTCACACGCACACACACACACACACACACACACACACACACACAATCTCATCGTTCACACACACACACACACACACACACACAATCTCATCGTTCACACACACACACGAGCTCATCCTTCACACACACACACACACACACACAATCTCATCGTTCACACACACACACACGAGCTCATCCTTCACACACACACACACACACACACACACACACACACACACACACACACACACACACACACACAATCTCATCGTTCACACACACACACACACGAGCTCATCGTTCACACACACACACACACACACACACACACACACACACACACACACACACACACACACACACACACACACACACACAAGCTCATCGTTCATACACACGAGCTCATCGTTCACACACACACACACACGAGCTCATCGTTCACACACACACACACACGAGCTCATCGTTCACACACACACACACACGAGCTCATCGTTCACACACACACAATCTCATCGTTCACACACACACACACACGAGCTCATCCTTCACACACACACACACACACGAGCTCATCGTTCACACACACACACACACACACACAATCTCATCGTTCACACACACACACACACACACACACAATCTCATCGTTCACACACACACACACACACCAGCTCATCGTTCACACACACACACACACGAGCTCATCGCACTAACGCCTGCTGTGTGTGTGTGTGTACTAACATCTCTCTCTTCACTGTGATGTCACTCATGATGTAGCATGATCCAGGCCTGCCATTGGTCGTCCTGCTGAGTGATGCCTTCGTCATCATCATCATCATCAGAAGCACACGTGTGTGTCCGTTACTTTAGTCTGGCCGTCTGCTTCATTTGATCATCATCCGTGTGTGTGTGTGTGTGTGTGTGTGTGACAGGCGTCTGTTGACGGTCTGCTGTCCTCTCTCTGTCCATCTAATCTCTCTCAGTCTGCTGTAAGTACAGTCCAGGCGTTTTGCAGCTTGATTGTTGTATGTCTCCCACTGGATCGCATGCGCATCTCAGACACGCGTGTGTCACGCAACGGACACGCGCCGCATCATCAGCCCAGTGCCCTGCGTATGCCCTGCGCATGCTCCCTCCGCCCAGTGCCCTGCGTATGCTCCCTCCGCCCAGTGCCCTGCGTATGCTCCCTCCGCCCAGTGCCCTGCGCATGCTCCCTCCGCCCAGTGCCCTGCGCATGCTCCCTCCGCCCAGTGCCCTGCGTATGCTCCCTCCGCCCAGTGCCCTGCGTATGCTCCCTCCGCCCAGTGCCCTGCGTATGCTCCCTCCGCCCAGTGCCCTGCGCATGCTCCCTCCGCCCAGTGCCCTGCGCATGCTCCCTCCGCCCAGTGCCCTGCGTATGCTCCCTCCGCCCAGTGCCCTGCGTATGCTCCCTCCGCCCAGTGCCCTGCGTATGCTCCCTCCGCCCAGTGCCCTGCGTATGCTCCCTCCGCCCAGTGCCCTGCGTATGCTCCCTCCGCCCAGTGCCCTGCGCATGCTCCCTCCGCCCAGTGCCCTGCGCATGCTCCCTCCGCCCAGTGCCCTGCGCATGCTCCCTCCGCCCAGTGCCCTGCGTATGCTCCCTCCGCCCAGTGCCCTGCGTATGCTCCCTCCGCCCAGTGCCCTGCGCATGCTCCCTCCGCCCAGTGCCCTGCGCATGCTCCCTCCGCCCAGTGCCCTGCGTATGCTCCCTCCGCCCAGTGCCCTGCGCATGCTCCCTCCGCCCAGTGCCCTGCGTATGCTCCCTCCGCCCAGTGCCCTGCGTATGCTCCCTCCGCCCAGTGCCCTGCGCATGCTCCCTCCGCCCAGTGCCCTGCGCATGCTCCCTCCGCCCAGTGCCCTGCGTATGCTCCCTCCGCCCAGTGCCCTGCGTATGCTCCCTCCGCCCAGTGCCCTGCGTATGCTCCCTCCGCCCAGTGCCCTGCGCATGCTCCCTCCGCCCAGTGCCCTGCGCATGCTCCCTCCGCCCAGTGCCCTGCGTATGCTCCCTCCGCCCAGTGCCCTGCGTATGCTCCCTCCGCCCAGTGCCCTGCGCATGCTCCCTCCGCCCAGTGCCCTGCGTATGCTCCCTCCGCCCAGTGCCCTGCGCATGCTCCCTCCGCCCAGTGCCCTGCGCATGCTCCCTCCGCCCAGTGCCCTGCGTATGCTCCCTCCGCCCAGTGCCCTGCGCATGCTCCCTCCGCCCAGTGCCCTGCGTATGCTCCCTCCGCCCAGTGCCCTGCGCATGCTCCCTCCGCCCAGTGCCCTGCGTATGCTCCCTCCGCCCAGTGCCCTGCGTATGCTCCCTCCGCCCAGTGCCCTGCGCATGCTCCCTCCGCCCAGTGCCCTGCGTATGCTCCCTCCGCCCAGTGCCCTGCGTATGCTCCCTCCGCCCAGTGCCCTGCGTATGCTCCCTCCGCCCAGTGCCCTGCGTATGCTCCCTCCGCCCAGTGCCCTGCGCATGCTCCCTCCGCCCAGTGCCCTGCGCATGCTCCCTCCGCCCAGTGCCCTGCGCATGCTCCCTCCGCCCAGTGCCCTGCGTATGCTCCCTCCGCCCAGTGCCCTGCGTATGCTCCCTCCGCCCAGTGCCCTGCGTATGCTCCCTCCGCCCAGTGCCCTGCGTATGCTCCCTCCGCCCAGTGCCCTGCGCATGCTCCCTCCGCCCAGTGCCCTGCGTATGCTCCCTCCGCCCAGTGCCCTGCGTATGCTCCCTCCGCCCAGTGCCCTGCGCATGCTCCCTCCGCCCAGTGCCCTGCGTATGCTCCCTCCGCCCAGTGCCCTGCGCATGCTCCCTCCGCCCAGTGCCCTGCGCATGCTCCCTCCGCCCAGTGCCCTGCGCATGCTCCCTCCGCCCAGTGCCCTGCGTATGCTCCCTCCGCCCAGTGCCCTGCGCATGCTCCCTCCGCCCAGTGCCCTGCGTATGCTCCCTCCGCCCAGTGCCCTGCGCATGCTCCCTCCGCCCAGTGCCCTGCGCATGCTCCCTCCGCCCAGTGCCCTGCGCATGCTCCCTCCGCCCAGTGCCCTGCGCATGCTCCCTCCGCCCAGTGCCCTGCGTATGCTCCCTCCGCCCAGTGCCCTGCGCATGCTCCCTCCGCCCAGTGCCCTGCGTATGCTCCCTCCGCCCAGTGCCCTGCGCATGCTCCCTCCGCCCAGTGCCCTGCGTATGCTCCCTCCGCCCAGTGCCCTGCGTATGCTCCCTCCGCCCAGTGCCCTGCGCATGCTCCCTCCGCCCAGTGCCCTGCGTATGCTCCCTCCGCCCAGTGCCCTGCGCATGCTCCCTCCGCCCAGTGCCCTGCGCATGCTCCCTCCGCCCAGTGCCCTGCGTATGCTCCCTCCGCCCAGTGCCCTGCGCATGCTCCCTCCGCCCAGTGCCCTGCGTATGCTCCCTCCGCCCAGTGCCCTGCGTATGCTCCCTCCGCCCAGTGCCCTGCGCATGCTCCCTCCGCCCAGTGCCCTGCGCATGCTCCCTCCGCCCAGTGCCCTGCGCATGCTCCCTCCGCCCAGTGCCCTGCGCATGCTCCCTCCGCCCAGTGCCCTGCGTATGCTCCCTCCGCCCAGTGCCCTGCGTATGCTCCCTCCGCCCAGTGCCCTGCGTATGCTCCCTCCGCCCAGTGCCCTGCGTATGCTCCCTCCGCCCAGTGCCCTGCGTATGCTCCCTCCGCCCAGTGCCCTGCGCATGCTCCCTCCGCCCAGTGCCCTGCGCATGCTCCCTCCGCCCAGTGCCCTGCGCATGCTCCCTCCGCCCAGTGCCCTGCGTATGCTCCCTCCGCCCAGTGCCCTGCGCATGCTCCCTCCGCCCAGTGCCCTGCGCATGCTCCCTCCGCCCAGTGCCCTGCGCATGCTCCCTCCGCCCAGTGCCCTGCGTATGCTCCCTCCGCCCAGTGCCCTGCGTATGCTCCCTCCGCCCAGTGCCCTGCGTATGCTCCCTCCGCCCAGTGCCCTGCGTATGCTCCCTCCGCCCAGTGCCCTGCGCATGCTCCCTCCGCCCAGTGCCCTGCGCATGCTCCCTCCGCCCAGTGCCCTGCGCATGCTCCCTCCGCCCAGTGCCCTGCGCATGCTCCCTCCGCCCAGTGCCCTGCGCATGCTCCATCCGCCCAGTGCCCTGCGTATGCTCCCTCCGCCCAGTGCCCTGCGTATGCTCCCTCCGCCCAGTGCCCTGCGTATGCTCCCTCCGCCCAGTGCCCTGCGCATGCTCCCTCCGCCCAGTGCCCTGCGCATGCTCCCTCCGCCCAGTGCCCTGCGTATGCTCCCTCCACCCAGTGCCCTGCGTATGCTCCCTCCGCCCAGTGCCCTGCGTATGCTCCCTCCGCCCAGTGCCCTGCGTATGCTCCCTCCGCCCAGTGCCCTGCGCATGCTCCCTCCGCCCAGTGCCCTGCGCATGCTCCCTCCGCCCAGTGCCCTGCGTATGCTCCCTCCGCCCAGTGCCCTGCGCATGCTCCCTCCGCCCAGTGCCCTGCGCATGCTCCCTCCGCCCAGTGCCCTGCGTATGCTCCCTCCGCCCAGTGCCCTGCGTATGCTCCCTCCGCCCAGTGCCCTGCGCATGCTCCCTCCGCCCAGTGCCCTGCGCATGCTCCCTCCGCCCAGTGCCCTGCGTATGCTCCCTCCGCCCAGTGCCCTGCGTATGCTCCCTCCGCCCAGTGCCCTGCGTATGCTCCCTCCGCCCAGTGCCCTGCGTATGCTCCCTCCGCCCAGTGCCCTGCGTATGCTCCCTCCGCCCAGTGCCCTGCGCATGCTCCCTCCGCCCAGTGCCCTGCGCATGCTCCCTCCGCCCAGTGCCCTGCGCATGCTCCCTCCGCCCAGTGCCCTGCGTATGCTCCCTCCGCCCAGTGCCCTGCGTATGCTCCCTCCGCCCAGTGCCCTGCGTATGCTCCCTCCGCCCAGTGCCCTGCGTATGCTCCCTCCGCCCAGTGCCCTGCGCATGCTCCCTCCGCCCAGTGCCCTGCGTATGCTCCCTCCGCCCAGTGCCCTGCGTATGCTCCCTCCGCCCAGTGCCCTGCGTATGCTCCCTCCGCCCAGTGCCCTGCGTACGCTCCTGCTGTGTTTCCCTGATGAATGTGAGCCTGAATGTCGATTCTGCTGTGGTCTTGAAGGTGTTTCTCCGATGATCGGGTGTCTCTCGTCCTGCATCCTCAGTGCTGGAGTGTGATTGTCATGTTTACATGCGCTGATAACATCAGCCCGTCGGATCGACCCGTTGTCCTGCTTTACATGCAGTGCAAGCTAACCGCGTTTGCTAGCCTTAAAGGGATAGTTCACCCAAAATTCTAGTTGCACTTTTTATCAATTAATTTCTTCAATTATGCCAAACGCACTTGCTGACCGCTGATCTACACTGTGTGTGTGTGTGTGTGTGTGTGTGGTGTTGGTGGTTGAGCTCGTCAGCACCCTCTGCTGGACCACGGCTCTCTAACACACACTCCGCAGTGAGCACTGTGAAGGGCTGGTGACAGCAGTGTGTGTGTGTGTGTGTGTGGTGATGGTGGCTGAGCTCGTCGGCGCCCTCTGCTGGACCACGGCTCTCTAACACACACTCCGCAGGGAGCACTGTGAAGGGCTGGTGACACCAGTGTGTGTGTGTGTCCAGCAGGAGGCGCTGCGGTTTCACATGAGCTGTAATCCTGAGTTTAACATCTTCTGTTTCAGACGGTCTTGATGAAGAGGAAGTGTCAGGAACATCTGTGAGTATCCGCTGACGTTGATCGTGTTCCTCAGAGTGAGTTCATCAGTGACTGAGAGTGTGTTTGTTCTTGTTTAGAGAGAAACTACGGGACGCCACTAACGAGCTTCAGACGAAGAGCTCCGAGATCGAAGAGCTGGAGAACAAACACAGTTCCAGCGGTGAGACATGGATGATTTCCTGACTCCACTGGCAGATATTAGTTCTGGTTTTAAACTCAAACTCGCTTAATTTTGATGCATTTTTCATTAATCAAGTGTTAATATGCCATTGTTCTTCTCCAGTAAATGTGTCTTGATGTAAGAATGATTAGATATTAGTGCTGGAGAACGAGACAGAAACACTGAGGAAGAGCGAGATGTGTTGCTGTGTGTGTGTGTGTGTGTGTGTGTGTGTGTGTGTGTGCTGCAGATCGTGTAACGAGTGTGTGTGTTGATGGTTTCAGTGTGTGTGTGTGTGTGTGTGCTGCAGATCGTGTAACGAGTGTGTGTGTTGATGGTTTCAGTGTGTGTGTGTGTGCTGCAGATCGTGTAACGAGTGTGTGTTGATGGTTTCAGTGTGTGTGTGTGCTGCAGATCGTGTAACGAGTGTGTGTGTTGATGGTTTCAGTGTGTGTGTGTGCTGCAGATCGTGTAACGAGTGTGTGTGTTGATGGTTTCAGTGTGTGTGTGTGCTGCAGATCGTGTAACGAGTGTGTGTTGATGGTTTCAGTGTGTGTGTGTGCTGCAGATCGTGTAACGAGTGTGTGTGTTGATGGTTTCAGCGTGTGTGTGTGTGTTGCAGATCGTGTAACGAGTGTGTGTGTGTATTGATGGTTTCAGCGTGTGTGTGTGTTGCAGATCGTGTAACGAGTGTGTGTGTTGATGGTTTCAGCGTGTGTGTGTGTGTTGCAGATCGTGTAACGAGTGTGTGTGTGTATTGATGGTTTCAGCGTGTGTGTGTGTGTTGCAGATCGTGTAACGAGTGTGTGTGTTGATGGTTTCAGCGTGTGTGTGTGTGTTGCAGATCGTGTAACGAGTGTGTGTGTTGATGGTTTCAGCGTGTGTGTGTGTGTTGCAGATCGTGTAACGAGTGTGTGTGTTGATGGTTTCAGCGTGTGTGTGTGTGCTGCAGATCGTGTAACGAGTGTGTGTGTTGATGGTTTCAGCGTGTGTGTGTGTGTGTTGCAGATCGTGTAACGAGTGTGTGTGTGTATTGATGGTTTCAGCGTGTGTGTGTGCACTGCAGATCGTGTAACGAGTGTGTGTGTTGATGGTTTCAGCGTGTGTGTGTGTGCTGCAGATCGTGTAACGAGTGTGTGTGTTGATGGTTTCAGCGTGTGTGTGTGTGTGTTGCAGATCGTGTAACGAGTGTGTGTGTGTATTGATGGTTTCAGCGTGTGTGTGTGCACTGCAGATCGTGTAACGAGTGTGTGTGTTGATGGTTTCAGCTCAGAGGATTGAAGATCTGGAGGACGCGCTGAAGAAGAAAGATGAAGATATGAAGCAGATGGAGGAGAGATACAAGAAATACCTGGAGAAGGCCAAGAGTGTACGTGTGTGTTTGTGTGTGTGTGTGTGTGTGTGCGTGCATGCGTGAGTGTGTGTGAGTGAGTGTGATGCTAATGTCGTGTGTGTGTGAGTGAGTGTGATGCTAATGTCGTGTGTGTGTGAGTGAGTGTGATGCTAATGTCGTGTGTGTGTGCAGGTCATCCGTACGCTGGACCCCAAACAGAATCAAGGTTCTGCTCCTGAAGTTCAAGCCCTGAAGAACCAGTTGCAGGAGCGCGAGAGGATGCTGCACTCACTCGAGGTCACACACACACACACACACACACACAAACACACACTCTCTAACACACTCTCTCACACACACACACACACACACACACACACACACACACACACACACACACACACACCAGGGTTTCCGTTGTCCGGACATTGGCCGGAAAAAAATTAAATGTCCGACAAAATTAAATCTCTCCGGTCAAATTGTCCGATTAAAATTGCGTAATTACCCCGCCCCTCTAACACAATATGAATTTATTTGAGAATAAGCAAAAATACACTGACTTTTGGCTATGTTATAAAGGAACAGCCTCTACCGTTTGAAAGTTATTAAACAACATCGCATGCTGCATTTCAAATAAAGCGCACGCCTAGAATGGCTGTAATATAGACCTAATCAACGACCGATTGAGTGAGACGTGTCAGATATGGCCAGGCCTGGCAGCCCTAAAGGAACACTCCACCGTTTTTAAAAAAATTGGGGTTATTCACGGTCTCCCCTACATTTAGATAGGTGGCAAATGCATGTTTGGAAGCACAGGCGAAGCACTGCTACTTGGGCGCAGAGATATCACGCAACACCTGAAATAAAGCTTGCCACAAAACCGGCGAAAGTAATGATTAGGCCTATGCATGAAACATTTGAATTATTGATAAATTGATAAAGTTGACGATGCAGACTCGCCATCTTCGCAGTAGTGAACGCGCCTATAGAGGGAATGTGCACGCGCCGGCGCCTCCGTGTCCTGATTATATTGTCCACTATATTTGCTTCTTATTTATTAATCCAGGCAAATTTGTTGATGAAACATTGATTGAAATTAAGATACAATTTATACAAAACGAAATTTTCGAGCAAAAGTAATATTCGAAGATCGCTGGGTTGATTATTATTCGAAAATCGCACCCCTCCACCACACACACACACACATGCATTAGGCTACACACCAGAGCATGTGAGCAAAGCGGAGCGGTGTGACGCTTATTATAAGTTAAAAAAACTTAAACATACGTTTCATATTTATAAATAATATAATGTTATTATTTTTTTATTTCATCTATGTTGATTAGCCTATATGAAAAGAGAACCGCATGAGATGAGTAAGATAGGATCATAAGATGACCGGAATATATCGGAAAACATTTGGAATGGGTCAGATTTTGACCACTTATACCCCATTTCCACCAAAGCATTTTGAGAGCCGGTGCCTGAGCGCGAACCAGTTCTTTGTGTTTCGACAGCCAAAGAACCGGTTCTCGGCCAGGAAAACTGGTTCCAAAGCGGCACCAACTCTTTGCTGGACTAGAACCGTTCTTTTACGACGTCATGCGTACGGCGGGGGCTGGGGGCGGGTTTAGATGTGTTCTAAACATCTTTTCTGACCATTATATAGGATCGCAAAGCCAGGAGAAACATTTGCAGAAACACGATGTAGTCCGCCATTGTAATTGTTATGCTTGAAGTTGGCGCAAGCGTTTCTAGTTTTTTTTTTTTTTTTTTTTTTTTGAAAACATTATGTAAGCAAAGAAGAAAACAGTCACAATATAGAACAAATAAATGGAAAGAAAAAAAGACACAAGACAGGGGTACATAACTAATCAGAAAAGATTACATATCAAAGGAAAAGATTAAAAGACTTACATATTTCAATTGTTTTTAAAGCCTTCTTGGTTCACGAGTTAGAGATAATCCCAAAGTAATGTTGTACTTGCAAGCGTTTCTAGCTAAGATGTATGGCGACGTACACAGTGACGTAACGACGTCGTTCGCTGGGCGCTCTAGTCAGTGGAAAAACAAACAGGTTCTGAGAAGGTTCGCAAGTTGAACCAACTCCGAACCAACTTTGAACCAGCACCAGTTCCGAACCAGTTCGTTTTTTGGTGGAAAAGGGGTATTATTAAGTTTTGTAAAGCCTTTCTTTAAAGTTTATTTCGTCTTTTATAAATTGTATGTGCTGCTCTATTCGCCTGTCCGCAACGGCGATAGATTGAAACGCGCGTCCGAGTGAAGATTGCGCAACTCGCGCAGTGCGTCGTCCATGACACTGATAGCAGCGGACACGAGCGCTCAGCTTGATTTCAAAAACAACTGATTTAAAACAACTGATTTTAGCGCTAGATCTCTTATTTAATAGCGAACTAAATGAAATATCTGCTAGTTAACTGGAGATGTTTTATTTATTTGTATTAGGTACATCCGTGCCTCAATGTTTCAAAAAGTGAATGTGTGTGAAACCATAGTAAAAAACAATTGGTGTTAATTGACGCCAATCGGACGTTCATGTTTTTTTCCGTCTATTTGAAAGTTAGGCTAATAATAACATGTTGCATTCTATACGGCCTGATTATGTCATTTTTTAAGTTACATAGCCTGCCTCCAGTTTTCCTCAACTTGATTAAGTAAGAGGCGATATTTGACCGGCATATCATCAAATTGTCCGTTAAACGAAACCTCTGCCGGTTACTTTGACCGGCACCATTTTTTTCTAGCGGAAACTCTGACACACACACACACTCATTCTCTGTCACACTCTCTCTCTCTCTCTCACACACACACAAACTTATTCTCTCACACACACATGCTGTCATGTGACTGTACTGTGTGTTTGCAGAAGGAGTATGACAAGACAAAGTCTCAGAGAGACCAGGAGGAGAAACTCATCGTGTCTGCCTGGTACAACATGGTGTGTGTCACACTCCCTCGAGTCACCAGAACACACTCTCTCGAGTCACCAGAACACACTCTCTCGAGTCACCAGAACACACACCTCGAGTCACCAGAACACACACCTCGAGTCACCAGAACACACACCTCGAGTCACCAGAACACACTCCCTCGAGTCACCAGAACACACTCCCTCGAGTCATCAGAACACACTCTCTCGAGTCACCAGAACACACTCTCTCGAGTCACCAGAACACACTCCCTCGAGTCACCAGAACACACTCCCTCGAGTCACCAGAACACACTCCCTCGAGTCACCAGAACACACTCTCTCGAGTCACCAGAACACACTCTCTCGAGTCACCAGAACACACTCCCTCGAGTCACCAGAACACACTCCCTCGAGTCACCAGAACACACTCTCTCGAGTCACCAGAACACACTCTCTCGAGTCACCAGAAAACACTCTCTCGAGTCACCAGAACACACTCTCTCGAGTCACCAGAACACACTCCCTCGAGTCACCAGAACACACTCTCTCGAGTCACCAGAACACACTCTCTCGAGTCACCAGAACACACTCTCTCGAGTCACCAGAACACACTCTCTCGAGTCACCAGAACACACTCCTCGAGTCACCAGAACACACTCTCTCGAGTCACCAGAACACACTCCTCGAGTCACCAGAACACACTCTCTCGAGTCACCAGAACACACTCTCTCGAGTCACCAGAACACACTCCTCGAGTCACCAGAACACACTCCCTCGAGTCACCAGAACACACTCTCTCGAGTCACCAGAACACACTCTCTCGAGTCACCAGAACACACTCTCTCGAGTCACCAGAACACACTCTCTCGAGTCACCAGAACACACTCCCTCGAGTCACCAGAACACACTCTCTCGAGTCACCAGAACACACTCCCTCGAGTCACCAGAACACACTCCCTCGAGTCACCAGAACACACTCCTCGAGTCACCAGAACACACTCTCTCGAGTCACCAGAACACACTCTCTCGAGTCACCAGAACACACTCTCTCGAGTCACCAGAACACACTCTCTCGAGTCACCAGAACACACTCTCTCGAGTCACCAGAACACACTCACTCGAGTCATCAGAACACACTCTCTCGAGTCACCAGAACACACTCCCTCGAGTCATCAGAACACACTCCTCGAGTCACCAGAACACACTCCCTCGAGTCATCAGAACACACTCCCTCGAGTCACCAGAACACACTCCCTCGAGTCACCAGAACACACTCCCTCGAGTCATCAGAACACACTCCTCGAGTCACCAGAACACACTCCCTCGAGTCATCAGAACACACTCCCTCGAGTCACCAGAACACACTCTCTCGAGTCACCAGAACACACTCTCTCGAGTCATCAGAACACACTCCTCGAGTCATCAGAACACACTCTCTCGAGTCATCAGAACACACTCCTCGAGTCACCAGAACACACTCTCTCGAGTCACCAGAACACACTCCCTCGAGTCATCAGAACACACTCCCTCGAGTCACCAGAACACACTCTCTCGAGTCACCAGAACACACTCTCTCGAGTCATCAGAACACACTCTCTCGAGTCACCAGAACACACTCTCTCGAGTCATCAGAACACACTCTCTCGAGTCACCAGAACACACTCTCTCGAGTCACCAGAACACACTCTCTCGAGTCATCAGAACACACACCTCGAGTCACCAGAACACACTCTCTCGAGTCACCAGAACACACTCTCTCGAGTCATCAGAACACACTCTCTCGAGTCACCAGAACACACTCTCTCGAGTCACCAGAACACACTCCCTCGAGTCACCAGAACACACTCTCTCGAGTCACCAGAACACACTCTCTCGAGTCATCAGAACACACTCTCTCGAGTCACCAGAACACACTCTCTCGAGTCATCAGAACACACTCCTCGAGTCACCAGAACACACTCTCTCGAGTCACCAGAACACACTCTCTCGAGTCACCAGAACACACTCCCTCGAGTCACCAGAACACACTCTCTCGAGTCACCAGGACACACTCCCTCGAGTCACCAGGACACACTCCCTCGAGTCACCAGAACACACACCTCGAGTCACCAGAACACACTCCCTCGAGTCACCAGAACACACTCTCTCGAGTCACCAGAACACACTCCCTCGAGTCATCAGAACACACTCCTCGAGTCACCAGAACACAGTCTCTCGAGTCACCAGAACACACTCTCTCGAGTCACCAGAACACACTCCCTCGAGTCATCAGAACACACTCCTCGAGTCACCAGAACACACTCTCTCGAGTCACCAGAACACACTCCCTCGAGTCACCAGAACACACTCTCTCGAGTCACCAGAACACACTCCCTCGAGTCACCAGAACACACTCCCTCGAGTCACCAGAACACACTCCCTCGAGTCACCAGAACACACTCTCTCGAGTCACCAGAACACACTCTCTCGAGTCACCAGAACACACTCCCTCGAGTCACCAGAACACACTCTCTCGAGTCACCAGAACACACTCCCTCGAGTCACCAGAACACACTCCCTCGAGTCACCAGAACACACTCTCTCGAGTCACCAGAACACACTCTCTCGAGTCACCAGAACACACTCCTCGAGTCACCAGAACACACTCCCTCGAGTCACCAGAACACACTCCCTCGAGTCACCAGGACACACTCCCTCGAGTCACCAGAACACACACCTCGAGTCACCAGAACACACTCTCTCGAGTCACCAGAACACACTCCCTCGAGTCACCAGAACACACTCTCTCGAGTCACCAGAACACACTCTCTCGAGTCACCAGAACACACTCTCTCGAGTCATCAGAACACACTCTCTCGAGTCACCAGAACACACTCTCTCGAGTCACCAGAACACACTCCCTCGAGTCACCAGAACACACTCTCTCGAGTCACCAGAACACACTCTCTCGAGTCACCAGAACACACTCTCTCGAGTCATCAGAACACACACCTCGAGTCACCAGAACACACTCTCTCGAGTCACCAGAACACACTCCCTCGAGTCACCAGAACACACACCTCGAGTCACCAGAACACACTCTCTCGAGTCACCAGAACACACTCCCTCGAGTCACCAGAACACACTCTCTCGAGTCACCAGAACACACACCTCGAGTCACCAGAACACACTCTCTCGAGTCACCAGAACACACTCTCTCGAGTCATCAGAACACACTCTCTCGAGTCACCAGAACACACTCCTCGAGTCACCAGAACACACTCCCTCGAGTCACCAGAACACACTCCCTCGAGTCACCAGAACACACACCTCGAGTCACCAGAACACACTCTCTCGAGTCACCAGAACACACTCTCTCGAGTCACCAGAACACACACCTCGAGTCACCAGAACACACACCTCGAGTCACCAGAACACACTCTCTCGAGTCACCAGAACACACTCCCTCGAGTCACCAGAACACACTCCCTCGAGTCACCAGAACACACTCTCTCGAGTCACCAGAACACACACCTCGAGTCACCAGAACACACACCTCGAGTCACCAGAACACACACCTCGAGTCACCAGAACACACTCTCTCGAGTCACCAGAACACACTCCCTCGAGTCACCAGAACACACTCCCTCGAGTCACCAGAACACACACCTCGAGTCACCAGAACACACTCTCTCGAGTCACCAGAACACACTCCCTCGAGTCACCAGAACACACTCCCTCGAGTCACCAGAACACACTCCCTCGAGTCATCAGAACACACTCCTCGAGTCACCAGAACACACTCCCTCGAGTCACCAGAACACACTCTCTCGAGTCACCAGAACACACTCTCTCGAGTCACCAGAACACACTCTCTCGAGTCACCAGAACACACTCTCTCGAGTCACCAGAACACACACCTCGAGTCACCAGAACACACTCTCTCGAGTCACCAGAACACACTCTCTCGAGTCACCAGAACACACTCCCTCGAGTCACCAGAACACACTCCCTCGAGTCACCAGAACACACACCTCGAGTCACCAGAACACACTCTCTCGAGTCACCAGAACACACTCTCTCGAGTCACCAGAACACACTCTCTCGAGTCACCAGAACACACTCTCTCGAGTCACCAGAACACACTCCCTCGAGTCACCAGAACACACTCCCTCGAGTCACCAGAACACACTCTCTCGAGTCACCAGAACACACACCTCGAGTCACCAGAACACACTCTCTCGAGTCACCAGAACACACACCTCGAGTCACCAGAACACACTCTCTCGAGTCACCAGAACACACTCTCTCGAGTCACTAGAACACACTCCCTCGAGTCACCAGAACACACTCCCTCGAGTCACCAGAACACACTCTCTCGAGTCACCAGAACACACTCCCTCGAGTCACCAGAACACACTCTCTCGAGTCACCAGAACACACTCCTCGAGTCACCAGAACACACTCCCTCGAGTCACCAGAACACACTCCCTCGAGTCACCAGAACACACTCTCTCGAGTCACCAGAACACACACCTCGAGTCACCAGAACACACTCCCTCGAGTCACCAGAACACACTCCCTCGAGTCATCAGAACACACTCTCTCGAGTCACCAGAACACACACCTCGAGTCACCAGAACACACTCTCTCGAGTCACCAGAACACACTCCTTGAGTCACCAGAACACCTAATACCTAATATACCTAATATATAAGTAATGTGTGTGTGTTTCAGATGTGAGAGTTATGTGTGTGTGTGTTTTAGGGAATGGCTCTGCAGAAGAAGGCGGCTGAGGACCGGTTGGCCGGCACCGGGTCGGGACAGTCGTTCCTGGCCCGGCAGAGACAGGCCACCAGCACCAGACGAGCCTATCCGGGTCACGTCCAGCCCACGGCAGCCAGGTAGAGCATCGCCACGGCAACCCCAGCTCAGCCAATCAGGACCCGCCTCAATCCCATAATGCCCTCTGATGAACCCGGGTCTCTGGACGCTCCTTAATTACATCAGCATTAATTAATCTACACACTCCTGAACGAGCGTGTCATTTCCCGTCGGACTCCTCTTTTAACGGAGGCTTTGCAGTATTTTAAGGGTGTTGTTCCTGACGCACAGAAACGTTAGAGTGTGTGTATTTGCTCCGCTGGGTGCGTTTCTGACGTCAAGTCTTTATATCCTGTCATCTTTATCTTCTGTTGATATCTATGCATTGAAAGAGCTAAATGTGTGTATCTCGTGTCGGTCGTCGTGACGGTCGTTTAAAGGCGCTTCATGACTTTGTTCTTCCTGTTTTTTGTTTAGTTGATTATTCCCGATGCCTTAAAACACTCACAGCTGCTGTCAATCACTGTCACGCGAGTCGCGCGTGTCCTTCACTCCTGCTAAACATGATGATCTTCCTCAGAAGACACGAACTCTCCAGTCGTTAATATCTCCAGTCGTTAATATCTCCAGTCGTTAATATCTCCAGTCGTTAATATCTCCAGTCACTTCGCTTCTCCAGTAAACGTGTCTTGATTTAAGAATGGAATGTTTAGGTAAAGTCGCAATTATATTTTAAAAAGTTTTATTCTGTGGCGGAAACGAGCTTCTATTGATACTTGTTCTTGTTTTAATCATAAACTCACTCAATTACGATACATTTTCCATCAAAAAAGTTTTTAAACCTTCAGTCATTTCACTTCTTCTCCAGTAAATGTATCTTGACGTAAGAATGTTTAGATATTTAGATAAACGAGACCGAGACACTGAGGAAGAACATGATGTTTGCAGGTTTTCTTCACGATCATAATGTTGAACGAGAACCGCGACTCTAGTGACGCTAGACTGAATCTGTGACTGACACCTGTCAATCTCTCTCTTTCACAGTGATGTTAAAGCATGAGCGGCAGGGGCGGGGCTGCATGACATCAGGGGGCGGGGCTTGTATGATTGACAGTTTAACCCATCGCTGCACATTAACTAACCCATCAGCACCTGTGTGCTATCCCAGAATGCTCTGGTCAGAAGTGGGCGGGGACAGCGCGTACTGGTAAAGACGGATGAACTCCATCATCAAGCCCTGATGTTCCTCACGCCTGTTTAGATGCATCGATCATTGTTCCAGTATCTCCTGTAGTGTATGATCCGTATGAGCGAGTGAGCTGGTGTTTCCAGCGGTGTGTGTGTGTGTGACGGAGATGAGCGTATCTGTGACTGATCAGGATCGGTGTGTGTGTGTGACGGAGATGAGCGTATCTGTGACTGATCAGGATCGGTGTGTGTGTGACGGAGATGAGCGTATCTGTGACTGATCAGGATCGGTGTGTGTGTGTGACGGAGATGAGCGTATCTGTGACTGATCAAGATCGGTGTGTGTGATGGAGATGAGCGTATCTGTGACTGATCAGGATCGGTGTGTGTGTGTGACGGAGATGAGCGTATCTGTGACTGATCAGGATCGGTGTGTGTGTGTGACGGAGATGAGCGTATCTGTGACTGATCAGGATCGGTGTGTGTGTGTGACGGAGATGAGCGTATCTGTGACTGATCAGGATCGGTGTGTGTGTGACGGAGATGAGCGTATCTGTGACTGATCAAGATCGGTGTGTGTGTGACGGAGATGAGCGTATCTGTGACTGATCAGGATCGGTGTGTGTGTGTGTGTGTGATGGAGATGAGCGTATCTGTGACTGATCAGGATCGGTGTGTGTGTGTGACGGAGATGAGCGTATCTGTGACTGATCAGGATCGGTGTGTGTGTGACGGAGATGAGCGTATCTGTGACTGATCAGGATCGGTGTGTGTGTGACGGAGATGAGCGTATCTGTGACTGATCAGGATCAGTGTGTGTGTGTGTGTGTGTGTGTGTGTGTGTGTGACGGAGATGAGCGTATCTGTGACTGATCAGGATCGGTGTGTGTGTGTGACGGAGATGAGCGTATCTGTGACTGATCAGGATCGGTGTGTGTGTGTGATGGAGATGAGCGTATCTGTGACTGATCAGGATCAGTGTGTGTGTGTGTGTGTGACGGAGATGAGCGTATCTCTGACTGATCAGGATCGGTGTGTGTGTGTGTGACGGAGATGAGCGTATCTGTGACTGATCAGGATCGGTGTGTGTGTGTGTGACGGAGATGAGCGTATCTGTGACTGATCAGGATCGGTGTGTGTGTGTGATGGAGATGAGCGTATCTGTGACTGATCAGGATCAGTGTGTGTGTGTGTGTGTGACGGAGATAAGCGTATCTGTGACTGATCAGGATCGGTGTGTGTGTGTGACGGAGATGAGCGTATCTGTTACTGATCAGGATCGGTGTGTGTGTGTGATGGAGATGAGCGTATCTGTGACTGATCAGGATCGGTGTGTGTGTGTGTGACGGAGATGAGCGTATCTGTGACTGATCAGGATCAGTGTGTGTGTGTGTGTGTGTGACGGAGATGAGCGTATCTGTGACTGATCAGGATCGGTGTGTGTGTGTGTGACGGAGATGAGCGTATCTGTGACTGATCAGGATCGGTGTGTGTGTGTGTGTGTGATGGAGATGAGCGTATCTGTGACTGATCAGGATCGGTGTGTGTGTGTGTGACGGAGATGAGCGTATCTGTGACTGATCAGGATCGGTGTGTGTGTGTGTGACGGAGATGAGCGTATCTGTGACTGATCAGGATCGGTGTGTGTGTGACGGAGATGAGCGTATCTGTGACTGATCAGGATCGGTGTGTGTGTGTGACGGAGATGAGCGTATCTGTGACTGATCAGGATCAGTGTGTGTGTGTGTGTGTGTGTGTGTGTGACGGAGATGAGCGTATCTGTGACTGATCAGGATCAGTGTGTGTGTGTGTGTGTGTGTGTGTGTGTGATGGAGATGAGTGTATCTGTGACTGATCAGGATCAGTGTGTGTGTGACGGAGATGAGCGTATCTGTGACTGATCAGGATCGGTGTGTGTGTGTGTGACGGAGATGAGCGTATCTGTGACTGATCAGGATCGGTGTGTGTGTGTGTGTGTGATGGAGATGAGCGTATCTGTGACTGATCAGGATCGGTGTGTGTGTGTGTGACGGAGATGAGCGTATCTGTGACTGATCAGGATCGGTGTGTGTGTGTGACGGAGATGAGCGTATCTGTGACTGATCAGGATCGGTGTGTGTGTGTGTGTGTGATGGAGATGAGCGTATCTGTGACTGATCAGGATCGGTGTGTGTGTGTGACGGAGATGAGCGTATCTGTGACTGATCAGGATCAGTGTGTGTGTGTGTGTGTGTGTGTGACGGAGATGAGCGTATCTGTGACTGATCAGGATCGGTGTGTGTGTGTGACGGAGATGAGCGTATCTGTGACTGATCAGGATCGGTGTGTGTGTGTGACGGAGATGAGCGTATCTGTGACTGATCAGGATCGGTGTGTGTGTGTGTGTGTGACGGAGATGAGCGTATCTGTGACTGATCAGGATCGGTGTGTGTGTGTGACGGAGATGAGCGTATCTGTGACTGATCAGGATCAGTGTGTGTGTGTGTGTGTGTGACGGAGATGAGCGTATCTGTGACTGATCAGGATCGGTGTGTGTGTGTGACGGAGATGAGCGTATCTGTGACTGATCAGGATCGGTGTGTGTGTGTGACGGAGATGAGCGTATCTGTGACTGATCAGGATCGGTGTGTGTGTGTGACGGAGATGAGCGTATCTGTGACTGATCAGGATCGGTGTGTGTGACGGAGATGAGCGTATCTGTGACTGATCAGGATCGGTGTGTGTGTGTGACGGAGATGAGCGTATCTGTGACTGATCAGGATCGGTGTGTGTGTGTGACGGAGATGAGTGTATCTGTGACTGATCAGGATCGGTGTGTGTGTATGTGTGGGACGGAGATGAGCGTATGTCTGACTGATCAGGATCGGTGTGTGTGTGTGACGGAGATGAGCGTATCTGTGACTGATCAGGATCGGTGTGTGTGTGTGACGGAGATGAGCGTATCTGTGACTGATCAGGATCGGTGTGTGTGTGTGACGGAGATGAGCGTATCTGTGACTGATCAGGATCGGTGTGTGTGTGTGACGGAGATGAGCGTATCTGTGACTGATCAGGATCGGTGTGTGTGTGTGACGGAGATGAGTGTATCTGTGACTGATCAGGATCGGTGTGTGTGTGACGGAGATGAGCGTATCTGTGACTGATCAGGATTGGTGTGTGTGTGTCGGTGTGATAGTGTTGCTCTCGCTTCTCTTCTATTTATTTGATGCTGAATCAGTAAGTGCTTTTGATGATTCTGACACGGCAGTGACACTTGCACTGCTTCCTTCATCAGCTGTTGCTTCATAATCACGCGACGCGATCGTGTCTGCGGTCGACGTCTGCTTTAGTGTCGCTGTAACGGGCGATGGACGATTGAATGTTTGAGGCTTCCTGATCACTGTGGACTGAGTTCAGAGGTCACGCGTCTCTCACAGCCGTCCATGAGCAGAGGAACGCCTCAAACGCGGGACACATGATGAACTGCAGTCGTGAGTGTGTGACTGCGGTGCGAGTGTGTGTTCATCAGAACTGACATCTGAAGTAGCAAACATTCGTTACATTTGCCAAGTTTTATATTGCTTGTATACAATATGTCTGTGTGTGTGCGCCGCTGGAGCGTTCAGCGGGCCGATGCGTTTCATATGCGTCTCCGCTGATGAACCTGTGCTTCCAACGCTGCAAACCTGTACAGTTGATATTCAAGTTGTAAATAAAGCTTGTATAAAACATTCATGTTTCAAACTCACGGCTGTTCTTTGTTTTATTTGGCTTTGTGGATCTACTTTTGTTCTCCTGACGCAGGGACGCTCATCACACTTTCAATTCTGTTTGAGTTTAAATTGTGCGTCATATCGGCGCAGGGTTATCAACTAAAGCTGTATCACTTCTTATCATGTTTCTGCAGCTTCACTGCTCCTCATGTTCTTCACTGTAACATGTAAAGCTCAAATGAATCGTGACCTTTGACCCCTGTGACAGGTGGGGGGGGGGGGGGGGGGGGGGCGTGTTAAAGCAGCTTGACCTTTGACCTATCGGGCGTGAGCGCTGGCCGAACGTTTGTTACAACGAAGAAAGCCAGAATCAGAGAACTTGAGCTTAGACTTGCAACCCGGGAACTTCCAGAAACTCGTTTCATCGCGTTTGCCCGTCCGGTACACCAGTGTTCCTACACCAGACGAGGATCAAACATGTGACACACGACCTCCGGCTCTCGCTCAGGCACTAGCATTTATATCGTATTGTTGTTGAACATCGAAAACTACTTGGAAACTATAGGTTTGTGTTTATCAATGGAAGATCCGTAGTCTAGGGAAGCTTGTTTCCGGACAGAATAAGAAATAATACAGGAAATAGCGACTTTTTACCTCACAATTCTGACTTTATATCTGGCAATTCTGACTTTATATCTCGCAATTCTGACTTTATATCTCGCAATTGCGACTTTATATCTCGCAATTCTGACTATATCTCGCAATTCTGACTTTACATCACGCAATTCTGACTTTATATCTCGCAATTCTGATTTTATAACGCAATTCTGACTATACTGTATCTCGCAATTCTGGCTTTATATCTCGCAATTCTGGCTTTATATCTCGCAATTGCGACTTTATATCTCGCAATTCTGACTATATCTCGCAATTCTGACTTTACATCACGCAATTCTGACTTTATATCTCGCAATTCTGATTTTATAACGCAATTCTGACTATACTGTATCTCGCAATTCTGGCTTTATATCTCGCAATTCTGGCTTTATATCTTGCAATTCTGGCTTTATATCTCGTATTTCTGATTTTATAACGCAATTCTGACTTTATATCTCGCATTTCTGTTTTTATAACGCAATTCTGACTATACTTTATCTCGCAATTCTGGCTTTATATCTCGCAATTCTGGCTTTATATCTCGCAATTCTGGCTTTATATCTCGCAATTCTGACTTTATATCTCGCAATTCTGGCTTTATATCTCGCAATTCTGACTTTATAATACGCAATTCTGACTTTATAATACGCAATTCTGACTTTATATCTCGCAATTCTGACTTTATAACGCAATTCTGACTTTATATCTCGCAATTCTGACTATATCTCGCAATTCTGACTTTATATCTCGCAATTCTGACTATATCTCGCAATTCTGACTTTATATGTCGCAATTCTGACTTTATATAACGCAATTCTGACTTTATATCTCGCAATTCTGATTTTATAACGCAATTCTGACTTTATATCTCCCAATTCTGGCTTTATATCTCGCAATTCTGGCTTTATATCTCGCAATTCTGACTTTATATCTCGCAATTCTGGCTTTATATCTCGCAATTCTGGCTTTATATCTCGCAATTCTGGCTTTATATCTCGCAATTCTGGCTTTATATCTCGCAATTCTGACTTTATATCTCGCAATTCTGGCTTTATATCTTGCAATTCTGGCTTTATATCTCGCAATTCTGGCTTTATATCTCGCAATTCTGGCTTTATATCTCGCAATTCTGACTTTATAACGCAATTCTGACTTTATAACACGCAATTCTGACTTTATATCTCGCAATTCTGGCTTTATATCTCGCAATTCTGGCTTTATATCTCGCAATTCTGGCTTTATATCTCGCAATT